GCAGTCAGCTACAGGAAGACAGTGGAGGAACTACTGCAATGGGGAGATGTGGGAGAACTTGGGAAGGTTGAAAACAAGCTGTGCAGCTGTGTTCCGACTGCAGAGGTCTGATGGCACGCAGAGGAAGACATAGCAGACCAGATAGAGGATTGTACATGTGATGCATTTCTGAGCAGGGATATTCTGGCAGGAATAATAAGGCATAATAAGGCATAATAAGACTTATAATTTGATCTATCTTGATTGAATAGGTTGAAAACAAGATAGAGAATCAGAGCTAGATACTAGCCAGCAGTCCACTGTGGCTAAGTCCAAAGCCATGGAGTGGAGACAACCAGTGCGTTTTAGGCTGGGTGTTTGTTGTTCTGGGTTGTACAGCATCTCATATAACCAACAGCTGTGATGGGAGCTGGAGAGCCATAGTGAGAGCAGGAAAGTCACTAGATTTGTCACTATGATCTTTTTTTTTTTTTTTTTTTTTTTTAATAAAGTCACCAAATCTGTCGACAAGGTTCCTAATTGGCAACAATTTCCAAGTTAGCAGCAAGCTTTTGTTTCTGTATTTAAGAAAGTAGTTACACTTACTTGTTCAGTTGTCTGTCTTACATCCAGCTCCCTTGCTTTAGAATTAACCTAATTCCTCACTGCCAGTTTGTCTCAACTTTTCTTTCCTTGTATCTCTGTCTCCCTTGCTCCCTGTTTAGGGACTACAACAGGCAGCCTGATGATGAGGGATCTGTGATGCTAAACTGGGGGCTCTCAACCCATTGCAGTGAAGAGCGTACTGTACTGCTAATCAAGAGAAGAGTTCTGACAAAACAGCTGCAATTAACCCTCATTAGGGTCAACATACTCTACTCAGCCTTGTCAAACCCATGCAGAGACACACATGGCCACACATATCTGCTCACACCCACACAATAGCGTACACACAGAGCCAGGTTTACTAGCTTGGAGTCCTCTTTTGGAAGATTGAATGTACAGACCTGTGGTGCTATTTATATATTTATATTTATATATATATATTTGCCATCTTACTAACCCTAGGCCATATGTTGTCTGAGAGAGGTACTGTCTTCCTAAAGTACAACAGAATCAAATGAATGCACATACACTATATTACCAAAAGTATTTGGTCACCTGCCTTGACTCACATATGACCTTAAGTGCCATCCCATTCCTAACCCATAGGGTTCAGTATGATGTCGGTCCACCTTTTGCAGCTATTACAGCTTCAACTCTTCTGGGAAGGCTGTCCACAAGGTTGAGGAGTGTGTTTATAGGAATTTTTGACCATTCTTCCAAAAGCGCATTGGTGAGGTCACACACTGATGTTGGTCGAAAAGGCCTGGCTCTCAGTCTCCGCTCTAATTCATCCCAAAGGTGTTCTATCGGGTTCAGGTCAGGACTCTGTGCAGGCCAGTCAAGTTCATCCACACCAGACTCTGTCATCCATGTCTTTATGGACCTTGCTTTGTGCACTGGTGCACAGTCATGTTGGAAGAGGAAGGGGCCCGCTCCAAACTGTTCCCACAAGGTT